GGTGGCCATTTCACCCTTCTTTGACTTAATTATCTGATGTGAACTGGATGAGAGATGTGGCTGGCCATTAAGCCACTTTAGCTTGCACGTTTTCTCATAACGCTCCTGACTCAGCTAAGAAATACGCATACGCAGATCCAGCTATTCTGATCCATAACTGTAGACATTAGAACTGTACAACAGCGGCACAGGTAAGAGAATAGAAGAAAGGGAGGGAGGCTAGCAAATTGGAAGCTCCGCAAAGCTGGGACCAACTAACAGTCTAACACCAAGAAACTGCGGTATACAGTACACTCACCGCGGTGGACGCCTCCGGTGTAACTCTGCGTTAGGTGAAGAGGAGCTCATCGACTGGCTTGCGGGTTGCTCACACGAGCTGAGTCGAACCTCATTAACGGACGCCTTTTCCTACCCCTGACCCGCCCTATTGCCATGCGCCCCGAGCTTCCAGTTGATCTCGAAGCACAACCACCAGCAGGCCACGTCTTTGATTTGCATGTCAAACACTGTCAGCCCTGAGATCGCTTCTCCAGCAGGCTTAGCTTCAAGCCTCATGTCCTGGGGGAACCGCAAAAGACCCACCTCGGAGCCGCAGTCGTTGACTAGGTACCTAGGGACCTAGTTAGTTGACGCAGATCACTGATCCGCAGCTAACTGTAGCGTACCCTGCTGCTAGTTAGCCTTAGCCAAAATGGACCTGTCTTGAATTCGGGGTATGAAATTGACGACGAGATTGTTGGAAGACAACCCTCATTTCTCAACAACGCCTGACTACCTCGAGCTATGATCGAACTTAATTACGGACGGGGATTTCTAGCTAACGGAAAGTCCTCTCTAGGGTCCTCAATAGGGGCCGATGCCGTTAATCCCGAAACCCAAGCACGAATAGACACCCGGCCGAATTGTCTATGGTTTCTTGCGTTGTAGGCATCGTGAATCGTGCATACCACCTCTTTAACACACTGAAAATACATTATCAGAGGAAATTTCTAACTACAAACTCAAACATTTCATACCTACAGAGTACCTAGGCGTCGCTCACAACATGCCCATCATCACTTCTTTTTCCAGCCCAACTGGCCACACAGACGATCCCCATACCCAGGCTCAGGGGCCTTATACAACACAATCTGTAAGTTGAAGAAAAGTTCAATTATCTACTCAACGAAAGATTTGTGCCACAACGCGTCTATGGCCATGGGTACTCTCAGTCCGTCATTTTGTAGTCTCTTTGATTCAGTCGCCATTTCTCTGGGGCAATGAGAGCTTGCTACAGGGATGAACACATCCCCGACTCCCATCTGTACTCGCTATACAGTAGAATTATAAGGGGCCTGTATAGTAATTTGTGCAATTTGTCGAGGGAGTATAGCGTATCTGTGATGATGTTGTCGAGAAATCGGTGATATGGCGTGTTTTTAGTGAAGATATAGGTGTGTGGCTAATACACGACTGTTGTGGCATCATTTTCTCCGCGTTTCTCCACGAGAACCGCCCGGGAGTTAGATCATGTTCAACGGGATCTGAACCTGGTGAACATCTGGGGAAACCGAAAGGATGTACATTGCTCTGTTAGGATAGACAATCTCGATGGGCCTTGTCCTTGACCCGTACAATAAGACAGAGGGACGCACTTTTCCTCCACAATCTCGGGGGCGGGTGAATCGAACGGCCAGGACGGCATCTATGTTGCATTAAGATCCCAAAACGCCCCGTCTGCTTCTACAAAGCACAGCAATGAGAAAGGGTTCTGATTTATCTGACATCACTGGCTAGCATTCAGGGGTTCATTGTCTTTTCAAGATATAGCACAAGTATTTCTCTACTAATACGCAAGGCAGCTCCCTCGAACTAGATGTTGCAGATACTTTGGCGAATCCTAGAAAGAGTCGGCTAGGAAAGAAGCAGGAGGATAAGATTCTCAGTACTGCTCTAATTGATTCAGCACACAATGGACTTTTGTAAACGGAATTTGCCCGAATCTCAGTTGATGCCATCTCGAGGTTCAGTTAGCCCGAAAGTTGAGGGAGGCTACATTACGTTCAACATTACGACACTTGCCCGTGGCCTAATACCATATGACTCTTGTAAGAGATAGAGCAGTACGATAGGTGAACAAGATGCTGAAATCTATAAAAGTGACGCGAATGCCAATGTGATGGTTTCGCAATAGCTTCGTCACACAGAGTGCCATTCATGTTATAGAGAGCGAAAAGCAAGGATGTACAGTACAGTAGGTACCTAAGGTACCTATAGGTGAAGCAATTGCCGGCTACCCCACAATACCAGGATGTCAATGCTCCCGTCAACAATAGCCGACAAGCATCCACTGTACTGTAAGGTGTGCTTCGGTCAACTGAAATCTTCTTCTTCATTGGTCGCTGGCTGAAACGCTTGCCTGTCTTGGGAAACTTCCATCGATCCGAGATATGCTACCACGTGGTCGTCCGCAAAAAGATGGGTCCTCTGTACCGTCCCGATGACGCACCTCGTTAGCTGTTTACTCATTTTGGATCGCACAAGCAGATGTCTCGAAGATAGATGTGTAAAGAAAGCTCGGTGTGTGACCGAGCACCTCCTGCTATGTAGGTTCCGGGACACACAGACTAGTAAGCCAAGAATGCGGAGAACGTTCGAGGACCTGGGGGAGTTTCCGGGGAATCTGGGGAAGTGTTTGCTGCTTGGCCTGGGTCGCATACATGAAACATGGGAATTCAAAAAGATATAATAGCTATGTGTATGGCAAGCTGTGGCAAGCATAATCTCCTGAGCCACTTGGCTTGTCGACTTTACCACATCATCCATCGGTCATGGATGGATGTGCTGAAATGAAAAGGAGATATCGTAGTACATACCTGTTCATCCAGTGCTACCGCAGCGCTTTCAAGGACACTGGCTTCTGTTTCTCTGAGCTTTTGGGCCAGTTGGAGGCGCCCATCTCTGATCTGTCCGGCCCGGCGCAATGGCTCGAGTTCATCATGGGAAATCTCGGAAGAGAGCTGCATGAGATGGTCGGTTACGACTTCATGCAAGACCGAAACAGCTCGAAGCCTAAAGATCTGACAGAGGGGGTGGTCCTTGATGAGATCTCCGAAATCATCTGCTCGAGCCGTGGCATCTTCGTCCTGCCAGAAAAGCCTTAGCTCCCGGTCTCCGTTTGTTCCTTGGAGGATCCTGAACTCCAGACCATCCTCCTCATTCAGGCACATCAAGTAGACGAAAGGACATTGCCAGCTTATTTTCCCGTTTGATCGAGATAGCTTAATAGTTGGCGACCCTCGAAAAATGTGGAGTTTCGCTTTTCCTAATGGATCGTCGGCCAGCAACTCCAGAGGTAGAGTCAGTTCCTCTACAGTGGACTCGTGGTCAATAAACCCATAACTGAAGATCATTTCTGCGGGTGCCTTTTCTCCGTAGGATATATTCACTTCGTCTCCAATGGATATTTCCATACCAGGCCGAGAGAGTAAGACAATATTGTTTTCGTCGTCTTCGTCATAGTAAGCAGTTTGTGAGTGTGAGTGGTTGGCCATGTCAAGGACAGGAACCATGGCATGCCCAGATCTCGGTAGTTCCAGACATCGCGATCTGTACCACGCGTCAACCAATACCCAATCATCAATAGTCACCGCCTCTCTTTCCCAAAAGAACGAGTTCCAAAACGGAAGAGTTGATGATCTTTCGGTGAGTTCATCAAACTCCTTGTTCAGAGCTGATAGTTTAGCGTCTAGTGCAGCCTACAGTGCAGTCAGAATCCTTTTGTTCCGTTGCGGGGAAATCGTTCTTCAGGCAGAGAGCCTGCGGCTCCGCAACCCTCGGGTCTAGTTATTCTCTCGTGTTTGTGGGAACACATACCTCTAGCGAAGTGCCCTGGAGCAGAGCTCGCTCAAGTTCCGACCACATTGTTGGGACTGGGATATCACGAGGCAGAAACTTCAGGTACTCCGTCCATGGTGTTGGTACAAGGTCTCTTGGGCTCGAGGCATCTCGGCTGGAGAGAACGAGATGTGCCAAGAGATACAGCATGATATCTGCCCGGGTCGACTTTGATGAGTAGCAGTCAGCGGTTGTTAGTGCACGCTTCGAGACTAGGGCTGGCTATTGCTGTATTGGAGAACAGATGTCTTATGGCTTAGCGACATACCTGATGTCCTGCAGAGTCAAGTAGTTGACGAAAGTTTTGATCGACCTTGGAATACTCTTCGATGGAAGCGGTTGAAAGGATCAAATCATGAGGAACCTGTAGTATCTTTCTTAGGTGGTCGTTGGCATGACCATGAGTCTCTATCCTAGCTCTTTCGTCCTTTTCCCCATCTGAATTGCAAGCTTGGCCCTCTGGCCCTGGCTTGTCCTCAGTTCCTTCAAGTCCGCATGTTTCTACACTTCCTGTCAAGTTGTTGGTGGCCACTAAGCCAATTCCCTTTCCGTCCGTTTCTTGCAATTTGGCGTTGGTAAATTCCACATCATTCAAGCGTGCCCAGGTTGGGAAAATGTCGATTGGCAAGGTTGATTTTGAAACCATGGTCCAAAAAAATGAGCCCCGGATAAGTTTAGCTGGGAAAATGCAAAGGCTTTCAGGCTTTTTGAACAGGAGAATGTCGGCTACTATGTACGCTTGACACAAACCTAAGCGTGAGACATATAGAAAGGTTCAGACAGACATCCAATACCCGGGCTATTACCACCGACCACAGAAACTAGACCCACTTCAGCCTCTTTGGGCCGAGAACTAATTTTGCGCCGAGAAGCCTTCATACGATGAAACTGGAGTCACGTACACTCATTTCCTTCGTAGTTATCATATCGACGGCAGAGCCTTTTCGCCCTTTTGATAACATCCATACCTAAATAAGGATCAATCAGTACATCAGTGTTCTGCCGTTACTTTGTCAGAGGCAAGTTCCACATCAGTAGACCTTGTCTTGGACTCCAACCACGAAAGCAAACCCTGGTCTTTTGTATTAGGGCTGAATCTAGCGACTTTACCCTCCGAGGGGTCGAGCCTCTATCAAGTTCTTGGACTGAGCAATACGCTTCTTCGTCATGCCTCGCGATCCCCTCATCGGCCTCGTGGGAAAGCCCTCGGCTGGTAAGAGCTCTACGCTCAACAGCTTAACTGATGCTTCGTCTAAAGTTGGTTGGTAGAAAGACCCTGGCCAAAAGCTGTTAGAACTTGGCGCTGATCGGAAATGAAATAGGCAATTTCCCGTATGCTTCACCCTTGTCTTATACTACATGTTTCTGTTGCTCTCCATCTCGGAGCCTATAATCCTGGAAGCTCGTGGTTGTTGCGAGAGCTGACCTTTCTAGGTTCACCACAATTGACCCCCAGCGTGCAATCGGCTATCTTCAGATAGAGTGTGCTTGTGCCCGATATAACGTATCAGACAGATGCAAACCCAATTATGGAGCTTGCGTTGAGGGCCGTCGTTCTGTACCTATTGAGCTTCTTGACGTCGCTGGTCTCGTCCCCGGTGCCCATGAGGGCCGAGGCCTGGGGAACAAGTTTCTCGATGACTTACGACATGCTGATGCTCTGATTCATGTTGTCGATGCTTCGGGTACTGTCGATGCTGAAGGAAAGGAGACAAGAGGCTATGATCCTTCCGTGGACATTGCTTGGCTACGAAGCGAAATCGTAGCTTGGGTTCTCGGCAATCTCATGCAACGATGGGGATCTATCCGACGAAGGCATCAGGCTATCAAGGCAACTGCTACAGAAACACTGCAAGCACAGTTCTCCGGTTACGGTGCAACATCGACTATTGTGAACCGCGCTCTTGATCGCTGCGGCATCAAGGAACCCCTAGAGGATTGGTCCAATGAGACCGTAGAGCTCGTCGTCAATGCCTTCATTGATGAGAAGTTTCCTACAGTCATCGCACTCAACAAAATCGATCACCCAGACGCTGATAAAAACATCTCCAAAATCGCCAAGCAGCAAGACCCTAATACCATTGTGTTATGTTCAGCCATCTCGGAGATTTTCTTGCGAAAGATGGCTAAACAGGGCTACATCAAGTATGTCGAAGGCAGCGAATTTATCGACACCAAGGAGGATCTTATAGAGCAAGGCGACCCAACCGGCGGTGGCCTCAAAGATCTCGACGAGAAAAATCGTAATCGAATCGAGAATCTCAAGGACATGGTTCTTTACCGCTTTGGATCTACCGGTGTCGTTCAAGTCCTTTCCAAGGCCGCTGAGCTCCTTGGTCTCGTGCCCGTTTTCCCCGTCCGGAATACCTCCACCTTCAGTTCTGGTGCATCGGACTCCAAGTTTGTTTTCCGTGATTGTGTTCTTGTGAAGAAAGGCAGCACGGTTGGCGATGTGGCTCGGAAAGTGATGGGAGATGCGCCTATCGCCTTTGTCGAGGGGGCTGGAAATATCCGAGTATCTGAAGACGACTTCGTCGCTGTGGGCAAGAATGATGTATGCCGTCATCTTCCATTTGTCCAAACTGCATACTAACGGAGCACATCCAGGTTCTATCATTCAAGGTCGGCAGAGCCTGAGCTACGAATGTCGTTGGTTGAGATATTCTAGCCATCATTGCTGTCTTCAGAATGCATATTTGTACGGCAGGCGTTGGGGTTGTTGTTCTTAAGGTAGATCGGGGTATGAATGTCCGCACAGAAAGAAGTCTTTCGGTTGATATCGAAGGAAGAAACGATATGCTCTATATAACGCACTCGGAAGAGAATCGATTAATAGCATGTCACTTGAATTGTTTCATGTTATCTTGTGTGCAATACGGGGGTCTTGAGGAGCCGACAGTCATGAATCGCAAGCCTGCGATGTGTGGTCTTCCCCTCCACATGAAGCCCGCGCGTGTATCTCATATGGCAAAGACAAAATTATAATCTAATTGCAATCAATGCCTTAATGGGGGCAATTGGGACTAACCATCTATCTTTAGTGGCCATTCCCTTGGCCTGTCACCCCATATAAGCTCTACTCCGTGCATGTCCGTCACTTTACGGAGTTTGTCTCCCCATTCCCCATGAACTGTTTTCTGGTAAATACGTTGTATGCGGGTAACCTTGAGTATCGCTTCGATCATAATGCACAACTCGCGAGCCTCATAATGCGACGAGTTGATTTCGAGAATCTCGAGGTTAGGGAAGCTGGCTAGAAAACCCGGTAAATACATCTCGTCGATGGTCTTGGGATATGAGCGGAATCGGAATTCTGAAAGCCCGATAGACCTGATAGCCGGCTCTCCACGCAGCCAGGCATGATCTTGGATGTGTTTGGTACTGCCAGATCCTTCAAGAACGCCTTGAGGATCGAGGGGAAAGGCAAGATCGAGAGTATGGAGCTTGTGCGAAGTGAGGGTATCACGAAGCACCTTTTGCAGTTTTAATGGCGGTACCATTGCTCGCCGGAGACGCAATGACCGGAGATCTGAATACTGGCAGTTTTTGTCATACCCATCGGTGGCCAGCATCTCGGGCTCTCGATTCAGTATCTCGGACAGCATGATCAAACCAAGGGGCCCCTCGTCATCAGGTCTCCATCGAAAATCAAAATCAATGTATTGCAGTGTGCGGCCTCCACGTAGCGAAGTTAGATGCTGGATTGTTTGCGCAGTGTTCAGGTCAGAATCGTTGGGTCCATGTACTGTAACTGCTTTGAGTTCTGGCCAAAAGTCATCCAGTTTAGCATCTGCAGGAAGTTCCCCAGAAAGTTGAACGTCTTTCAGATAGAGTTGCTCCATGCGTGGCGTCTTTAAGGCCAGATGCCACTACACTCAGTCAGTTAGGCGTTCAATATTTCAGAGAAGAGAATCGCTCACCATACGCAGCCTGAAAGGACTCGGCCTTCGAGGCTCTTCAAGTCGCATGTACTGAAGATTAGGTAAATGTGGAAAGATTATCTGGTTTGATGAGTCGATTTGGGGCAAGCCGTCGATGTGTAGAGTTTGCAAGCTCTCATGGGCATGTTGTAAGAGTGATACCATGATATGGGGCCTCTGGATGATCACGTCCTGCAGAATGATATGGTTCAGCTTTTTAAGTATACCCTTTGCTGCCGGTATACTTAGGTCTTCCTCGGTAGAACCCCTCAATTCGAGATGCTCAAGGTTCTTTGACCCTTGTAATAGGGCAACTAATTTGTGCTGGGTAAGTCTGAAGCGCGATATGTCTTCGACAATGATTTGGCGGACGTCGTTTCCAGAGAAAGAAATCAATTTCTTGAGAGACTTCACGCCAGGTGGCCGGTCATGGGCAAGTTTCTCTCTAAAGAACAAGGTACGCCACAGCCGCTCATTGCCATGACTAGTAAGGTACTGCCTCCATTCCCTGGAGACACCAGTACATCGGACGAGAGACCCGAAATCGAGATAGTGGAAGATACGCTGAACAATCTCCTGCGGGTTTCTTAAAGGGTCTTTGCGATAGAACCGTATGTGCAAGGGTTGTCTTGCGGCTCGGAGTTTCTACCTTCAGGTTAGCAATGAATCCACTCACAGTCACATGAATGAACAGCTCCGTACCTGAAACTTGGGCGATTCAGCAAGACGGTGTTTATTTCCGACTTCGATGCCAGCAGTGTATACTTTCCAAGCGAATTCATTTTTCTTTTGGAGGCGCGATATTTTGCCCAATCGTAAATACCCCTGAATAAGTAAGTATATCGCCGAAATGTGTTTGGTGGGGAGGTTCAAACATCTGGAAGTCGTGGTGCAAGTTCTAGTATCCATTCAGCGTCCTTTTGAGCTCTCTCAAGCTCCTTCATCTCTTCAAATGTTGCGGCACGGTAGTCAAGGGCTTGTATGTGTAGCTTATTATCGCATTTGCTGAACGTCTTGCGCACCGTGCAGGCACAGGTATACATGGCTTCGTGGAAGATGGAGCCACCCTCAGAAGCAACCTTTTCAAAGTTCTTGCAGCTACATCGTGGCCGTTTCTCTTGTCGAGCACAAACGCAGAGTTGCATTGCCTTAGCGCGAATAGTCAGTAACTGAGCAAGCAGGCTGTGCACTGTTGGCCTCATACTTTCGTGAATCGCTTGAGAGCGGGTTTGTATTGCTTGGCGCCATACAGTCGGCGGCCTTCAGCAATAGCTGACTCTTGAATTCCGGAGGCCATTGCTAGTCGCACTCAATAGTGTTCTGGTACATATAGCTGATAGATGGTGATGTTTCAGCAGATTGCCTCATTTCAGATATAATAGTATGGCCTGGTTTCCTTATTAGCGTTGAAACAAGAGCTTGGGCAACACATTTATATGTGAATCGGTGGCTTCCCAAGTGGCGAGATCGGGTCGAAAGACCGCACAAAGAACCGTCTCAACATTTGGACTGCGATTTCGCGAACAGAAGCTTTGAGGTTGTCTCACCTGTGCAGTTGTTCAGGATCGCCAAGGGACCGGCGTTCGTGTACCCCCAGAACGACAAGTGAGGCAGCAAGGATAAACCGTGCTCAGCATAAACGTCCCTGATGCTGTAGCTTCAGGTTACGTCGATACCACGGTCCGACCTAAGTTATATCCGTTACTCTGGCGTCGTTTCCTAGGCTGCGTGGAGGGGTAGGTGATTGTATAGGTGGAAGCTTTCCCCAGGCGACGCGTTTCTCTAAGTTTCACTTTCACTTCGAGTTACCCTATACCACAAAGCTTTCATAACTTTCTTTTTAAAAGTTAGAGCTTTAGCTGCTGAGCTACACTACCTACCCTTATATAGACAATAAGGAACAAAATTGCCTCATACCGGGTCAGTATAAGTTAATAGTATCATCTTGGTTGAAAGAAAGACCAGCAGGAATCTCATTGACATCTAATGTACGAAGTTAACCTGGCTCGTGCTAGGGACCAATCAATTTGTGCTGTTTTATAACCAGTCCTCGGTTGGCGATAATACAACAAGTCTAGATTAAATGTAACGGTCAATACCGGCCGCTGGGAAAATCGCAGTATCTTGCCTTTCTTAGGAGCCGACAGCTAGCTGTGTTGTCCTATTATGCTTCCCACTCCATAAATTCCCCTGATCAGGTGAAAACCGGCGCATGATATATACCAGCAGTGCATGCAAGTAGAAGAACCCGGGGGCCCGATAAGCTAAGCAAAAATGATAGTGACCCGTTTGTGAGAGGATACGATAATATGGAGGAAATAAAGGTCGAGTATATGCTTGATTTTCAGTGGCATGCAACATGCTCAGTCTACTTATCATCCAGAGTCGACCACAAAGAGCTGTAAACCTGATGATCAACTAGCAATATGGAGTGCATAAAATGTAAAGGTACACCAATGATAGATTGCCAAACAGTCTGCGGCTTAAGCAGCATTGCAACACAATGTTGACAACTCACGGTCAAACCTGTATCCATACCCAACTTGCCACCAGACGAGCGTATACGAAGCCGTGCTGCATGGTGGCTATCGATGGGGATCCTATTATATTAACCCGACAATTTCCAATCAAAGGAGACGGATAGTAGCCGGAATGAATCCTCTGACACCGTTGCTAATCCAACATTCTTCGCCATTGATCAAAGATTTTGAATCGATAACTTGCTCAGAAGCGAGTCCTCTGGTCTTAAATCAGTATCGAGACCCTTATTGTTCGCTGACTGACAGGGGGCCATACCGTTCTAATGCCCAACGTCTCGAGGTTCCATCTTGGCCGCCATTCCCTTCCTCCCAGCTGAACTGGGCTGCAACAGGTGGTGTAACCCAACGGCCGGCCCTCCAGAAATAGGGCGTAGTAAATGTCCCTTCCATCACAGAACCGTCGTCTTGGCTTACGACCAAGACCTCTATAGGATCTGCATAACTAATGCCAGCACGCTGTCGGGCTGCGTCGTACATGGCCCTCTTTGTAGTTTTAAAATGAGTATACTCGGACCTTGTCGTTGAAACCTGATCCAGGAGAACCGTATAAGTAGAACCCTTCTGTGGCTCGCTTTCCAGTGAAGGACGAGATGGGTCTGGAAGCCGAGCTGGTAAGAGGTTGTGTATGGGAACCTCGGGTGTGCTGGAGTGCTCGATTCTGATGTCGCCTTGATGAGACACGACTATTTTAAGTTTCAGTGGTGTTGGATGAGATGGTCCTATAGCGTTTGCAATAAGTTGAGCCAGATATGACAGCCCATCGTCACCGGATAGCTGATCTGCTGCAGACTGCCACCCCCAATGTGTCGCTGCCTTGAGAAGTCGATCTCGGTGAAAGTCAAGCATGTACAGAGGGGAGTCGTTCTCAAAGTTCCAGCCCTCGCCAGCGCATCCCCGACTTTTCAACTGTGCAAGTTTAGCGTCGTACCTCATAGAGGTGAAAATGGAGAAGTCGTCGGACATTTTTCTCAGTACATGTTTTGGAGTTAGTCGGACATGACACTTAAGTTTTGAAAGGAAGTTGTCTTGGGTTGCATGGCCACAGTGGTAACATTAAACCTACTACTAGAGGTGAGGAAGTAGGGCAGAATTAGTAATATGAACCCGTATTGAACAGAAACAGCATAGTAGAGCAAGGGAGGTTTCTGTTGACTATCAATGTCTGCCAATCTCCATGGACGAGAGGTCGAATTGATTGCTTTTAGATGCAGAAGCCGCTCTCTCCAGGGCTGAGCCGGGGAATTATTATTAGGCACAAGGCTTTGTCAATGTACCAGAGCCAATCATGATATGGATGTTGCATATCACAAATTTTGGTAAGGGACTGCTTTGACAAGACTTGCATTCAAGAGCCAAGCATTATCCATTCATCCATGCCTACTTTAAGCATGCATGTGTATATTTATCCCCCGTATTTCTATCGTGCAAGGACTTTCCAGATCGATCTCGTGTAGGAGAGTGCCGAATCATGAAAGAATCCCCGCAACATGTCACCTCATAATTCGCAGAAATCGGCAGACCGCCAACCATCAAAATCTTGACAGGGGTCGTGGGGAGAACAGAACCATTGGGGCATTCTGTTAACCGCTAGGGATTGAGAACACATCCGACTTGTATATCATGAATCTCAAGTTGTTATACCTGCTGAAGTACCAAGGTAGTAGTTTGTAGGTAGTTCACGTCAAGGATAAGGTAGGCACCTAAGAAGTGCCCAGCTGAGTCCATAGGCAAGGTACCGAGACCACTTAGCCTGCCGTCCAAGTGCCTCAGGCATGATAGAAGGACGTCACCAAACACATAGCGTCACTACGAAGTAGGAACCTCACTTGGGCAGGTCTGAGGTGGGCATCCATATCCAAATTCACTACCTAAAGTTGGTGCTGATCGGAAAAACTTTCAGTGGATCCGGCCCGCGAACCTCCACTGTTCGCGCCAAATTTCAAACAGAGCCGTCAGCTTTTTCTGCGCGTGCCCAGCCCAGCCCGCCGAAGCTACCAACTGTGATCTGGTTCTGGTTCTGTGATACTGCTCCGGTCCGCGCCCATACATCATCGGCTTCCCGACTCCCTTCAATCCCGCATCGACGGCTTCACTTCTATTCTCGCCCCCCGCTACGCCGATCCCCTTCAATAACACATAGACTTCGCAATGTCGGGTCCAATTCCATCAATGGCTCCAGGCCAGCCAACCTACATACCTGTCGACTCTTCCTCCGGCCTCTGGGAGCGGTTAACACATTGGGCCTCCGAGAACAAGACTGTCGTCTACACCATTGCAGGTGTTGGTATTGCTGTGACAGGTGCCGGTGTTATTTACTACCTCAATGACAACGTACGTGCAATTGCCACTGTCTCCATTTTGATGATGTCGGATATTTCTGCGGGCACCTTGCGGCTCTGCGTCGGATATCACTGCACTAATAATGAACAAACCTTGACTAACTGACAATTCGAAACTGCAGAGCGGCAAAGACACAACACCAAAGTTGAGCAAGAAGGAGAGGAGAAAGCGAAAGGAAGCCGATCGCAAAGCTGATAAGGAAGTGCCCTCAAGTGGCCCCTCTCAACCCAAGCCTGCCTCTGCCGAGAGCGAGCCCGAGCTGCCCGAGGTCGATGAAGAAACTGTCTCCGGCCTCACCCAAGAACAGCGTGAAGAGTATGCCGCCAAGCTGAAGCAGGCTGGCAACAAGGCCTATGGCGATAAGTCATATAACAAGGCTATCGACCTCTACTCCAAAGCCATTCTCTGCAAGGCCGACCCTGTCTTCTACTCCAACCGGGCAGCCTGCCACAGCGCAATGAGCGAATGGGACCAGGTTATCGAGGACACCACTGCCGCTATCAACATGGATCCTGAGTACGTAAAGGCCATCAACCGCCGTGCTACTGCCTACGAGCACCAGAAGAAGTACTCCGAGGCCCTCCTCGATTTCACGGCCTCATGTATTATTGACAACTTCAAGAGCGAGTCTACGGCCCAGGCTGTCGAGAGACTTCTCAAGACTTTCGCCGAGCAAAAGGCCAAGGAGATGATGGCGTCCCGACCACCTAAGCTGCCCAGCCCCATCTTTGTCGGCAACTACCTTCAAAGCTTCCGCCCTAAGCCTCGCCCCGAAGGCCTTGAGGACTCGGAAGAATTGGACCCTGATACTGGTAAGGGACAAGTGCAGATTGGACTCCAAGCTTTGGAGAAGAAGACTGGCGATGGCTATGAAGAGGCTCGCCAGGCTTTCGAGAAGGCTCTAGAGCTCGGCGACCTGGGTGAGCACGAAGCGCTTGCTTATAACATGAGGGGTACATTCCGGACCTTGCTAGGTAACCATGCCGAAGCAACGCAGGATTTCGACAAGAGCATCGAGCTCGACCCCACTATGACACAGAGCTATATCAAGCGTGCCAGCATCAGCCTGGAGCTGGGCGAGCCTGACAAGGCCGAGGCTGAGTTTGCCAGGGCTCTCGAGCAGGACAAGAACGACCCCGACGTCTACTACCACCGCGCTCAGGCCCATTTCATCAAAGGAGACCTTGCCGACGCCCAGAAAGATTACCAGAAGTCGATTGACCTTGACAAGGACTTCATCTTCTCCCACATCCAACTCGGTGTCACCCAGTACAAGATGGGCTCGATCGCTTCGTCCATGGCTACTTTCCGACGATGCATTAAGAACTTCCCTAAGGTACCTGACGTCTACAACTACTATGGAGAATTGCTCCTCGATCAGGGTAACTTCTCTGAAGCTGTTGAGAAGTTCGACACGGCTATGGAGATGGAAAAGCAGACCAAGCCCATGTCAATGAACGTTTTGCCCTTGATTAACAAGGCTCTGGCCCTGTTCCAGTGGAAGCAAGACTTTAAGGAAGCCGAGGCCCTTTGCCAGAAGGCCCTTATCAGTAAGTATTCTCCTACACAATGCAGCCAATTATTGTGCTAACAATAACCTAGTCGACCCGGAGTGCGATATTGCCGTCGCTACCATGGCCCAGCTCCTCCTTCAACAGAACAACGTTCCTGCTGCTCTTAAGTATTTCGAGCGCGCGGCCGAGCTCGCTCGAACTGAGGGTGAGATTGTCAATGCCTTGTCATACGCCGAGGCAACCAGAACACAAGTTCAAGTCACAGAGAAGTACCCAAAGTTGGCAGCCAAGTTGGCGGGTGGCGCTGGGCCCGGTGGCCTTCGTATGGGTCCCCAATAAATGTTGTACAAGAAATAAACACCAATCAATGAATGGCCGAGGCGTGTAAAGTGTACGAATTAGGAGCAGACGAGAAAAAGGATGGCGTTGATTTAGGATGGGACGCGGGACATAACCAACCACACTCTGTCCACCGAGGGAGCTTACCCAGCTGCTTCCTCACCAGCAAGTAAGGTCCAATGCTCTGCAGTTGGGAACTATAATGCACACAACTGAACCCAATTGTACCTGTATATAATAAGTGCTTCTCTTATGTGTTTCTTAAGCATATCGGGAATTTTTGAGGGTGAACGCAGGGCAGGTACTCAGCAGGCTTGGACATCATTTGCACTGGTACATGGGAGGAAGAAAAATGAGTCGTATTTTCTTTTCGTCACGCCCTGTCCGATGACTTGTTTATGAATATGGGACTCAAAATCACTATGTAGACCGATATGATTGAACAACCTTTAAGGGCATGACATTAATACCATGAATCTCTACTCCAGTAGCCTCAATCACTCCATGACGTTATCTGGATCGTGTTTCAACATGCATATATACAATAACGGCGATGCTCCTCATCTGTCTGCCTCTCCTCCTGTAATTTGAGGACGGACCGGTAGTATTACAAGAGGAGCAAAAAAGATAGAACGCCAGTAGACAAAAAAACAAAAAATAAAAGCAAAAATACCATCTGAGGATAAAAGCTCACATGAATCCGGGTTTTTCATTAACAGTCAGGGTGAGCTCCACCCTCTCCTCCACGACCCCAACAAAAAGGCCCCTAACGCTTCGGCGCCAAAGGGAAGAAGAATGATTAAATACTGGAGGCGGTATACGGATTAAAGACGTGTCGTATCCTCTGGTCTTGTGGGTAAAAACGGAAGAATGGGAACTCAAATGCGTCGTCGAGATATCTATGAAGGGAAAAACGAGAAACAAAAACAAGCAGAGCATCAGCATCAGCATCATAACATCGGCAATGGAGTTTGAGATGATGAGCCTTTTTCTACTTGTTATTCGCCACAGAAACACCGACACCGACACCCACGGCAATAGCGATGATGATGAGTAGGACGACGAGGGCACACCACCACTTGAGCTTGCGACGGTTGGCGGCGTGCTTCTTGGCCACCTCGACTTGCTCGTTGCCCTTCTCCATGTGATCGACGGTGTTGATAGCATTAGTTTCAGCGGCCTGGATGACCGGCTCTTGCTGCTCAACAATGGTGGCAAGCTCCTGGTAGAGGATGGCAAGCTCGGAAAGAGTTTGCTCAATGCGCTGAAGTTCACTGTGACGAGCGCGAACATTACCGAGTACGGAGCTTGCATGACCAGTACGATTTGTTCGTAGCTGAGTGTCTCATTAGTCATGCTGCCCGAGAAAGTAGCTGGGGGGGATTACTTACAGCAGTCTGGAACACACCCTCGTTGCCCCAGTCGGCGTTGGCGGCTTCTTGAACCTCTTGCTCGGAAGCATCGGGGTTGACGATACGGTATTGACGGGCAATCTGATCGCGATAGCGCTGCTGGTAATCCCGCTCGATGCTCTGGTACTTGTCGAGCTCTGACTTAAAGAAGGTCTTGAGGGACTGCAGCTGGGTGTTCTTTGTGGTACGGGAGCTGTCGTTGGTCTTTGCGAGATCGCGCTCGAGTCCCTTGATGCCATCCTTGATAGCGGTGTTTCGGATCTGGGTCTGAGAAACATACTGCTCGAGGTCATGGTTGGCGGACCCATCGGTACTGCTGAGGGTGCGTTGGTGGAGCTGGCCGATGTAGTCGACGTCGTTGGTCAGACCCTTGATTTCATCGCGGAGTTTCTGCACGCGGTTCAGGAATTCTTGCTGAGAAAGACTTGAGCTAGTAGCTGTAGCCTGTTGCGAATAATCCTGCATCTCATACTGGTCATTACCATGGGCTGGCGCATCTTGCGCATAAGGATTGGCCTGTAGTTAGAAGAATTGGTGTCAGCATGATTGTGGTCAGTTCATGAGGGACAGGGGACAACAAGGCTGCGCGTACCTGGCCATAGCCATAGGAGTTATCCTGAGCCGAGCCCTGCTGGTAAGGGTTCTGATTGTACTGATCGTAGGACATGGCGCTCAATTTACTCGAACAAGGAAGCAATGGCGGGGGATGGATGGTGATGATGAGAGGAGCAAAAAGCACTAATAGTAGGCTGGTGCTGGTGCTGGTGGTGAGAAATGATGAGATGAAGCTACTCGACTGAGCTTTAGTTTGTCTTGGCCTTGAGATCAACGTGGATTGGACAATATGGGCCGGGGCCGAGCGCCAGAGCTTAGTGGCGCCAGTGGACTTTTGCGGTTTTGGTGGATTTGGGCACGGGTCCTTCAGTGAACGGGTACGAACGTGACGTGACGTAGGTGCCCCGGCAGGTTTTTGGGTCTGAAAAAGCTTGATCTTTTTTGGTTGAACAGGCTCAAGAGAAATGAGTAAACAAAAAAACAGCCTCGCTTATTGAGATCGCCAACCTGATCAATGCTGATGTGGCAACTAGCCTAGACGTTGATTTTGGCAGAATGAATCATTCAAGTTCAGGTTTCAATTGCTGACCGAGAGGGAATTCACTCGGCTTATGTATGAAGGTCCATCCTAAAACTGAACCCCCGGCAGTATCGGATCTACCTAGAATCGTTAGATGACTGCGTACGCAAGTGGCGGGTGTTCATTCGAACCAAACACGGAAAAGAAACAATGGGTAAGTTTCCAGAAATACACAAACCCAGCTCAAGGGTCTCTTAGGTCTCTCGTCTTGTCGGTGACCCTCTCTCCGCCATTCAGCGATTACTACTCGTCAGCCATTGAGGCTATGGCTACCTAGGTAGCTATGTATCAACTGCGAATGCGAATCCCCAACTGCCCACTGAGGCTAAGCATTCATCTCCCTTGTCCGCCGGACCTAGAAATCGGGGGAGAGGACTATAACGAACCAGGCTAACCAGGTCACTTAATACATCGATGAAGCATTACCAAGCAATTTCATACCTTTTACAACTCACAAGGGAAGATTGACGTTATGGAAAATCATTGGTGTTTTGTTCTTACTCTGTCCCATTCCCGCATGGTCAAGAAATGGTGGCTGAGCCAAGACACTGGTTTGGTTCTAATGGAACAGTTTTGATAATAAATAGATAGCTGACATGACTCCAATTGAAACTGCTGCGGGACAATACACAGAACTGTTTCGTTTCAAGGGGATTTCGCCTCTGCAAGACCCAGCTTGAGCTCAATTCCATCTGCCTGGAGTCTTTTTCGTCACCCTTCTCACCTCAGTGCTGATGCTGGTCACCATAAACCAATAAACATCTGCCACTGTTAGTAGCCGAAGTCAGTTCTTCCAATACGACAGTCGCCATCTTCTCAGGGCCACCGCCTCATAATTTTGCATCGAAAAACTCCAAAACGCCAATAACCTATCACAGGGTTTATGCAATCATGTGTCGCTCCTGGTCACGATATATTCCAACCCAAGAAGTTACCTGGATCATATTATGAGCCGTAGTGCAGAGGCTGCCTAGGCCTTGCGATTCGAAGTGATTTCATTTCGATCGGGCAAAAGGTGACCATGGTATCTTCGATAGAATCAAATGCATATGGGAAGTGTGTGGCGTTCTCATAAATAGTTCTTCTTCTTGGCGGTTCGTGTGTATTGCGTGAGATGCCATTCAACGTCGCCATCCTTGTTGTCAAGCGTGCCGCTTCGAATCTCGAATACCCTCATTGTCATCCGTGGCCCGACTTCAGCCAGCTCAACGCTGTCGTATCCTGTCCGCACGAAAACATGATGCCTGACTTCAATGCTGTCCTCGATGTTCTTGAATGTGACGACTCGGTTGCCGACCTTGTTTTTGCTCGTGATGGCTTCCCTGGGAGGAAAGACATGTTTCAGTACTTTCACTACACGCTCGCCTAAGCGACTTGTAAAGCCATCAAAGATGAGGTGAGGGTACGATTCGCTCACGGTTCCTCGAACGCTTCCAGGAATATCGTGGCGTAAAACGACGTTGTGAAGAGAGAATGAGACAGTTGGACCATGCGGAAAATGCGACAATGTCAAAGCAGTTGGGGTGCCTCGATGTTCGTGAAGAAGGACGACGTCGGAGAGGCCAGCTGACTGAGCGGAGCGTACAAGATCGGGCAGGATGAGGTTTCCACGATTGAGGCGCACGGCAGTGGGAAGTAGAAGTCTGATCTCCTTGGCGAACGCTGATAATCTAGCCGAGGGATCTCGTGAAGTCGTCACAAGAACGCGAGGATCGACAATGCCTGAAAGCTGAGCGTACTCATCGTCCAGGTCGAGCTGCTCGTTGGTGGTGAGATCAGGTCGTGATTCGTCATACTGATAGTCTTTGCGAAGTGACTTGTCGTTGGCAATTGAAGGATCTAAAGGCTTGCCAGAAGCCAAAGAAGATCTCAATTTGGCTCGTTTCTCGCTGATCTCAGCGTCCCGCAGAAGAAGAGCACGTCGATAGAGGTAATCGCGCCTTTGGCGCGCTTGTTTGCGCTACACCAATAGAGTTAATATTCATGAGAAGGATATAGATACTCCTATTAGAACTTACAATCATTGTCTTGGCGTCTGCCCGCTTTCACAATGTGATGCTTGAGCTTTTGCAACATGTATAAAATTTCTAGGTTAGATAGGTACGCTATCACTCAGCAGCAAGAAAAAAGTTCTTATCGAGGCGGACATCCATTGATAACGAAAACCGCCTATCACGTGGGCGCAAAATGTCCCACCAGCTAGGTACACTTAGCAAAGAGGGTCCAACTGTTCACCTGGATAGAATTGTTCAACGGAAGGCATAATTTCTTGCCGCCAAACTTTGTGACGTGCGTTCTGTGACAATCCTTACTACTCGCCAAATCCGCCTGACTCCGAGTATATACCTCGCCGCCTGGCCCTTCTTTGTACCGGCGCATTCGTTCCCGCGATGATGTGAGCCTTACCAGCGACTTGCAACTTCCAAACACTTTTACTATCCGTTCCGAGCCACCTTGGGCCTCCCATACGGATACCTCCCGGAAGAATAATAGCTCTAGGTAAGTCGCGCTCGCTATCTTGGCAGTCGAGGAACGTATTGAACCTTGTCATCGCTCACTGCGTCACCGCCACCCTTACTTTGCCCTGACGCGGGGCATTCAGCTGCTGATAAGTCTTTGTGCAGAAAAACTCTACGAGCCACCAACAACTTAAACAAAACACCAACATGGAGGGCGCCTTCACCCATGTTGGGAATCATTTGATATCCGACTCTGCTGCTGCCATCAAAGCTGGAGCTGATGACCTTTCCACGATCGACCCTGACGAGAGCTTACTCTACCGCAAATATGGAGATCGTAATGGCCGCCGCCGAGCCGATGATGATGATAACCAGACCGAGGCTTTTGAAGAAGACGACAACGATAGTCTTAACAGCGTCCCGATCGACGGACTGACGGGACTCAAACTAAAAGGCCAGGATGAAGAGAAAGAACTTCCTGCCCATGCCTGCGCGTAGGTTTTATCTATGGCCTTGATATTTGGATCTGGCTGACATGGTTTTAGTTATTGCGGTATTCACTCCCCAGGATGTGTTGTCAAATGTCTCACCTGCAATAAATGGTTTTGTAGTGCGAGAGGCAACGGCACCTCGACCCACATTGTGAATCATCTTGTTCGAGCTCGTCATAAAGAGGTTCAACTCCACCCTGAGTCTACGCTGGGTGATACTGTACTCGAATGCTATAACTGTGGAACCAAAAACGCCTTTCTCCTCGGCTTCATTCCAGCAAAGTCCGATACTGTTGTCGTCCTCCTCTGTCGACAGCCTTGCGCCGCCAATACCTCCAACAAGGACATGAACTGGGATACATCACGATGGCAACCCCTCATTGAAGAACGAGCTTTTCTGCCTTGGCTTGTCGCGACCCCATCCGACTCCGAACAGCTCCGGGCCCGCCACCTTACGCCTAACATGATTGCCAAATTGGAGGAGATGTGGAAGATCGAGCCTAAGGCGACAGTGGTTGACCTTGAGAAGGCAGCTAGTATTGATGACGACCCTCAACCTGTCTTGCTAAATTATGACGATCCTTATCACTACCAAAACATTTTTGGACCTTTGGTCAAAATGGAATCCGACTACGACAAGAAACTGAAGGAAGCGCAATCAGAAGATGGGCTCCTCGTGCGCTGGGACTACGGTTTGAACAATAAGCATCTGGTCAGCTTCAACCTACACAAAATCGAATCCGGAGATGTCAAACTTGCTGTTGGTGACGAAATGCGCCTGCGTTATAAGGGCGAGCTGCGATCTCCTTGGGAGGGGGTTGGTTATGTCATCAAGATCCCGAATAACCAGTCTGATGAGGTCACACTGGAGTTGCGCAAGACTGGAAACGAAAAGCTTGTGCCCACTGACTTATCTCACAACTTCTCAGCAGACTACGTTTGGAAAGCTACTTCCTACGATCGCATGCAGTTGGCTATGAAGACATTTGCTGTTGATGATATGAGTGTGTCTGGTTACATTTTCCACACATTGCTTGGCCATGAGGTCCAGCTACAGGTCATGAAGACAAACCTGCCTAAGAAGTGGTCTGCCCCTGGTCTCCCTGATCTCAACCCAAGTCAAGTTGGTGCCATCAAGGCAGTTCTTCAAAAGCCCCTGAGTTTGATTCAAGGCCCTCCTGGAACTGGCAAGACTGTTACATCGGCTACCATCATTTACCACTTAGCCAAGATGAGCGGAAACCAGGTCCTCGTATGTGCGCCTTCCAACGTCGCCGTCGACCAACTCTGCGAGCGTGTTCACCGTACAGGACTCAAGGTTGTTCGTCTCACGGCCAAATCTCGCGAGGATGTCGAATCATCAGTCAGCTTCTTAGCTCTTCATGAGCAGGTGCGCATGTCAGAGCACAACAGCGAGCTTGTCAAACTTTCCCAGCTGAAGAACGAGCTTGGCGAGCTGTCCAGCCAGGATGAGAAGAAGTACAAACAGCTTACCAAGATCGCTGAACGAGATATCCTTAACAACGCTGACGTCGTCTGCTGCACGTGCGTGGGAGCTGGCGACCCTCGTCTTTCGAAGATGAAGTTCCGAAATGTTCTGATTGATGAATCGACCCAGTCGGCGGAGCCTGAGTGCATGATTCCTCTTGTTCTTGGATGTAAGCAGGTCGTCCTCGTTGGTGATCACAAGCAGCTTGGCCCTGTTATTATGAACAAGAAGGCGGCCAAGGCTGGCCTTAACCAGTCGCTTTTCGAGCGCTTGGTCAACCTGAAATTGTCGCCTATCCGGCTCAACATCCAATACCGGATGCACCCTTGCCTATCCGAGTTCCCTTCCAACATGTTCTACGATGGTAGTTTGCAGAACGGTGTCACTCATGAGAATCGCCTTCGAAAGGACGTCGACTTCCCTTGGCCCGTCGCAGAGATGCCCATGATGTTCTGGTCTAACCTGGGGCACGAGGAGATTTCTGCCTCTGGAACTTCATACCTCAACCGCACGGAAGCATCCAATGTTGAGAAGGCGGTCACTCGATTTTTTAAGGCCGGCGTTAAACCCGCTGACATTGGCGTTATTACTCCATATGAAGGCCAGCGAAGTTACATCGTGACTACTATGCAGAATTCAGGAACCTACAAAAAGGAATACTATAAGGAAGTCGAGGTCGCATCGGTTGATGCGTTCCAAGGCCGTGAGAAGGACTTTATTGTTCTATCTTGCGTTCGATCCAACGATAATCAGGGCATTGGGTTTTTGTCTGACCCTCGTCGTTTGAACGTGGCCTTGACTCGAGCCAAGTATGGCCTCGTCATCCTGGGCAATCCCAAGGTTCTGTCCAAACATGAGCTTTGGCACAATCTTCTTGTCCACTTCAAGGATCGCAAATGCTTTGTCGAAGGTCCGTTGACCAATCTGCAGGCATGTTTGCTCCAGTTCAGCCGGCCCAAGGTCAGCTATCGTCAAAAGAACCAGCAACCACAGTTCGGAGCCGGCAGCTATTCCAATGGAGGACGCTTCAACCCCCCTCCATCTGGTCGAGATTTCGATGCAGGCTCCATGGTTTCCTACATCCCCGACGATGTGTCTTCTGTTCATGGCTCTGCATTTGGAGGTGCCTCTCTTAGCAGCGCCTTCCCTCCCATGTTCTCAAGCTTCACTCCTGATCAATGGCCTGGACTTCCTGGGGTCACGGCCCCAGGCCGAGGCGGGAAGAGTCGCGGACGTGCTACGGAAAGCATTGCAGGTGAGAGTGTGGCCAACTCCGAATATACGGATGCATCTTCTAGTGTCATCGGAGGTAAAGGTGTTGGCCAGGGTGGTGTTAGTCTTGGAGCAGGGCTCCACGACGCTGTCACAGGCATGCGGCCTGTCTCCTACAGCCAAAGTGATCGGCTCAAACAGTATGTTGAGAGCAGTGGACGCATGGTGCCTGGAAATGGTTATGGACGACGCTTTGATGATGACGAGAAGAGTGTCAGTACGACATTCCATAGTCAGATTGGAGGAGGCTACGACTGAAGGACAGCATGAGCACTACGGGTAGATGATTCCAATTTTGCTTTTGCATCCCGAGGGCTCTGCTGCACGGCTTGTCAGCACCGCGGGATCATTGAGCGCGGAGGGAGGTTCCCATTGTTGTCTTCTTGTGAAGTCTTCCCAGCAAGGCTGACACCTCCAAGGCTTGCCCATTTCTGTGGAGACCGTGCCGTGCCCGTTTCATGGGTGACGCCCGGCTGGATAGGCCAGGGCGAAGACAGGAGTCGCATTGCCGGAGGCTCAATCTACGACGGCCTTTGCAAGGTCGCAGTAGGCCCGGCAGGTGCAGATTGTCTTGATCTCGAGAAAGCAGTGCAATAGTGGAAGGGTCAAGGAACGTGCGTGGTGATTAGAAGTGTTATTGAGAGTGGCCAGCAACGAAAGACTGCCTTCAGATATCGTCATACGAGATGAGATGTTGGAAGAAACGCCATGGATGTCGTACTGGCAAACCCCTACATCGAAGAGCTCGTGGGCCACTCACTTGTTTGGTGTTTTTGCACCGTACGTTGAAATTCTGAGTTGGCCTTAGTCAGTCTTTACCAGATAAGTAGATAACAAACTTGAGTCGTTCTTTTGACCTTCAACATCCCATGCAGGAACAAGTGTCGTCAATATGCAGGTGAGTTCTTGAAGGGCAAGGAATGGTTCATGGAATGTGAAAAAACCCATGGGCTTTCTGAACCAGGTAGCATCACCGTGTCTTTAACCAGAGAAACTACTGTGCGCAACATACCTAAGGCATGCCAATATAATAGGTGGACGTTGAAGTTGCTTTCTTCTGGACCATTGCTCTTCTAAAGAATTAACTTGGGTGTGTGAGACAGTTCAGCCATCCAATGCCTTAGTAGGTAGGTATGTAGTACTCGGTACAGGGGAAACAGATTGGGTCAGGGCCTAACTTTAGGGGCTTGTGATTTACGTCAAGGTCTGCAGTATCCGTACCTGCGGTTGCTTGTTAACTGTGAACGACTGTGGTGAACAAAATATTGGGGCCTGGATCGTTACACCAAATCCAGATATCTACCTGGGTACAA